AACCCAGCCAATGAAATCTCATAGGCGCAGCCATCAAAGACTCCTCAGTCACCGAGGCATTGGATGTTCTTTTGGTTTATGGATATAAAATGATATAAAGACCAAGCTGGTCAGATAATAATATGGTCTTCACCCATGCAGCATAAATAAGCTAAATATTAGATAATATACGCGATATTTTTTGATACCTTTCGAATGTCCCATTGTTTGCCCATTCAATCCAAGAATCAGTGAGACATGTCCATGCCCACACTCATCTTACAGCCACCACGCTGATTGAGCTGTGCAGCTGAGGAAAGTGGAGTCGGCCAAGCGCACACACCACACCCATGCCGGTGTCTACAAGAATCATCAAATTTTTAGGGGACTTAGGTGACTTAGGTGTTTTGATTAAAACATAGGAGATTTCAACAAAATCTCAGCAAGCTCCGATGTTACCTAAAGATTTCCAGGAGTTGGATGCACCAGGAACCTGTTTTTTAGTTTCATACGCGCTAAGGCAAAGGCTGACGCCACCAAAGAAGCCACTCCAAACCCGGACACCATGGACACACTCCCGATGCCAGAGACCCAGATCACCACGCCCTCTCCCGTTCATCAAATGCGTCCTTTGCCTTCCATGTCACCTCCGCCTATTTTGAAACCTTCTTCGTTGCTTTCTATCCCCACTACGGACGATGGGGAAAAGAACAAGTGTGAAGAAACAGCAGAGGAGGAAAAGATGACTGATGATGAATGCTTAGAAGTGGTTGATCATGGGGATGAAGCTATCAATATCGAAAGTGGGGAAGAACATGTTATGTCACCGAACCCGAAGAAAGAAATGGAAATTGATAGCCAGTGGAGGCTGCAGGATGACACCATGGAAAGATGCAATGCTCCTAGTCCACCTAGTGAGAAGAAACCAGAGCCTGAGACACATGCTGGAAAGGATTCAGAGTCTTTCCCCGCAGCCAAGAAAGCCAAGATTACCCGACAGGATTCTAAGGCTATGCCAGTTCAGCACCCAGCCCAGTCTGAAGAGCCTTCCACCTGCGCACAGCACGCAAAAGAGCTTGAACAAGCCATTGACAGCGACGACGAAATCAGAAAAGGCTGCTTCAAGGCAGGTTTTGTGGTATGGGCATGGTTCCAATAACTTGCTTTGCAAACAGTGATCAGTGATCAGCCTTATGCAGGTGTAAATTAAATTATATGTCACATATAATATATAATATATATTATATGCATGCATGTATGGGCAAATCACTTAACAAGTTTTTGGAAGTTAGACGACATGATCAAGTAATCACCCAGGACACGCATCCTTCAGTTCAAGAAAAAGAAACCAAGTGACAAAAACTGTATAGTATATATTATCATGGGTGCACGCATGTATTATATATATATATTATATAGATTATGTCCCTACATGTTTTTCATCAGAAACATGTGTTTTCTTGTTGTACGATGCCCTGTGCAGGATCGCAAACCTTTGGTGGAGGACGTTCCCGAAGTACCCAAAGAATTGGAGGAAACAATTGCAAAAGCCATGCTAGATGAGGACCTTGAACAGGCTCAGGAAGCTGATGCAGAAATCAGAAAGGTGGGGCCCAACAAACACTTCGATTTCGCCACATCTCTGATGTAACTTTGATTTTCTTGTTAGCTGGTTTGGGGTCCCAAAAATCTACGCCCAATTCAAACATGCAATCTTATCAGCACGCGATTGCACATGTTACCAAAACAGTTGAGAAGTCACACATAATACAAAAGAACGGTTCATCCTCGGGAACAGTTAAATTACTCACACATCTTGCAAGGCTCAGCTGGCTCTGAGAAGGCTGGCCAAGGAGACTACCATGGAAGCAGAGGACCCGGATGGGTTCTATGCTAATGAAGGCGGTGATGGGGATGATGGGCCTGGGAAGTCGAGGGGAAGAGGCAGGGGAAAAGGTAGAGGAAAAGGTGGCGGGAGAGGCAAAGGGAAGGGAGGAAGAGGTAAGAAGGACAAGAGCAGCAATGAAGGATCCCGAAAGGAAGACAAACCAGAGGAAAAGAACAATGAAAAGAAGAAGGATGAGGAGGGACGAGCAGCAAATGATGATGATGGGAATGTTGAAAAAAACAAGAGCCTGGATGGCCCACCTTCCCCAAAAAGCACACCGAGAGTTCTCCGCAGAACTAAGTCAAAGCGCAGGGGCTTGCTTCAGAAAGCAAAGCTGGTAAGCCCACAGAGTTCCAAGAAAAGACCACCGCAAGAAAAGACAGAATATCCAGATGATGGAGCAGAGCTTCATGAGCCAGAAGTGGCACCCGAGCAAGAGGAACTGCCACCTACGACCACAGAGAGGGCAACTAAGAACCGTAGGAGCCGACGTGCCAAGAAACCGAAAACTGAACCTGCCGATGTCCCCCACAAGGATGACAGCGAGCCACAGGATCACAAAGAAGAGGACCAAACCGAGCCAAAACCTGAGGGTGAAACACCTGAGCTTGAAGAGGCCATGCAAGCAGAAGAGAAGAAGAGAGCCATGCAACTACAGGCAAGTTCATGTCATGTATGGCATGCATACATCACACAACCATAGTACACACAATATTGACAACATATGTTGTATAATAATAATTACACTAGTATGTGTGTTTTATTATATAATATAGTAACATGTTAACAAAGTATATTACAAAAAATATATCATTTAAATTATTTATATAATATATATTGTTACTATATTAACTACAGCGCATGGCTCAGTCATGGTCTTTCTCCATAAATTTCATGGCAAGCCATGAGTTACTTGGGTAACATAGTTTTCTGTACAGAATGTTCTAAATACTAACAAGTTCTGAAGGATTACAGCATCATTATTAAATGTGTCGATTCTGTTTCAGGCCCGGGACTACAATTGGAAACTCTTGGCTGAGATTGATGATGCAATGCTCAGCCTGCCTACTACTGAACAGCTGGGATCTGCAAAGTAGCAACCTCAGACTATCTCAGTGCCATGTATTTAGCTTTAAAAAACTGATGCAATCTATGTGCGCGTGTTGCACTGGCACCGCATATTCAAATTCACATGGCTTTGCATGCATCTCCGCGCATTGGATGTGATTGCACATCATGTGTGCCATTTCTTTACCCAAACATACTAGAATCTGATGGAAGAAAAACTTGATGTGATATCATCCCCCGCACAGAGGTCTAGCATAGACTTATTTGAAACATACCAGCCTTACTATGGCCATTGTTTGAGGTCGTTCACGATGGACCCTCCGGACAACTTGCCGCCACACCCCAAGGGGTGGAATCGATCCAAGATCCAAGTCTTGCCCAGCACTCAGATCTGACTGAAACATATGTGTGAAGTTGGTTTCCTGGACAGCTGCAAGAACTATGCTCGTTTTGAACCAACTTGATAAGTTCGACTTTAATTCTGTTCTGCACTATTATTTTGATAGTTGTTGATAATCTTGATGGAACAGCATCTTAAATTCAATCTTTGTTTGCTACTCTATGGGTTGAGAGGTGCCGATGTATGCCGATTTGACCTGAATTTGCCAAGGCTTCTCCTCTCAAGGTCGACTGCGGCTTCCTTTTACATTCCCCTGGTGGCACAGGATACTTTGGACCTGATAGCATTGGAGAAAGGTATGAAATTTCAGGCCGGTTGGTTGCCACTTTTCCTGCTTATTCAATGTGAACATGGGTATGAATTAATTAATTCATTCTTCCTATCTTGGGATGTCAATTGAGACCCAAGAGTATGGATGATTATTAGGAAATAGCCAAATTTGGCCTCGCAATTTTGATTACGAATCTCTGCAAAGCTTCAGTCAGACCTGATGCTCACACTACGCAGGCCAACAATGCAAAGTCAAAAGGCGTCAGCTTGGCTTGGAACAAGTTTGGTGGTCCGAAGGAAGCGTCTGGTGCCCAGTGCCAGTTCAACAAATTATATATATATTATTGATTTCAATTTATTTATGATATCTTATTTGGCTTGCACTTGTGCCTAGCAATCCCTTTTGGTGACTTACTGTTGATCTATATATGCCCAATAGTCAAGGCTACATGGTTCAAATCTTGGATGTTATTCACGCATGAACTAACTAAGAACTATATACTAGATTGATCAACTGATCCATGTGGTCGAGGAAATGCTCTCAAATGAAGTTGTATGGAATCCTACTTCATAGAAGTCTGAATTATGATACAAACAGACCCAGGCAGAAATGGCCAGAACATGGAAACTGTGTCCTTTCGTTCTGCTGAGGTTCAATGTGGCTAAGCTGGTTGCTGGATGGATGATGCCATCAGCTGACGCCCATTGACTGGGGTGATCAGATCACTTCTTGAGGGTGCCTGCGCCGCTGCCAGAGTAGCGGTCATGTAGCTGTTGGAGACCATTTTGTGGTTTAAATTCCAATCGGTATTTTGACTGGATCCATTCCCTTAGACTTGAGCGAAGGCTTATCTGTGTTATTTGGATGAATGTTGGTTTGAACCATGTTTGTTATTGGGCTTCTGTGTCAAACCCAGCTTTCAAAGCCTGAACCGACATGGGAATCTGGATCCAAGTGTCGATGACAGGAGTGGAGGGCCCCGGGGTATAAGTTCCAGTTAAAAAAACATGAACCCCGCATGAACTACGTCATAAAACAAAAATTCATTATCGAACAATATAATATATACTGTGAAAGTCTTTGGAGGGGGGCAGTACCATTCCAATGTCCAATCTTACATTTGGGGTATTGTCCAAGTAGCGCATGACATGTGCAGCTTGTGGGGTGCAAACTACCATCGTGGCATGGCAAAAAAGAAACTGTTTCAAACAGTGATTGCTAGTTGTGAGTCCATGCCTCATCATATTAAGGAGCTTTCATGTGTCATGCTGAGCAAATCATTTTAAATACACGCATGGTCTATCATGGTCCCACATCGTTCTGCTCCGTGTCTTTGCATTTCAGGAAGGCTCAGGCAAACGTTGCCTAGGTGTGACAGGGTGTGTTGTTGGGCCATGGTGCGCAAGGCTGAGTGGTTAAATTCCCCACTTGCGCTTACACAGCGCTGCTCCAACCTATTGATGAAATGGGGACTGCCGATCATCCTGTTTCTTGACATGAATTATAATTATTGTACTACAAATAAATTATAAATCTCATATAAGATAATGGTGGGCAGTTGGGATGTAGAAGTAATATAATGACACTATTCATGGATTCGCTTACGTTGCCTTCAGGTTACACCTGGTGGATTACGTGGTTCAGTCTACTCCTCCAAGTGAGTGGGCGAGGGCTATTTGCTCAGATACGTTTCATGGGTGTGTTGTGCAATGACCAACCTTTGTTTTACCAGCTGACATACCCCGACCCAGATCTATGGATTTAATCATTTAACAACACCCGCGGTGCCCAAGGACACTGTGCTACTTGATGGCTTTTCGGGACAACAAGCCCTGAGCCAATACTATCGTGGGGGGCCCCAATCATGCAGTTATCAAAGGCTGCCATTGGTTTCAAACATTTTTTTCAAACAAATTCCACAAAGAAAAACAGTTGGTGCCATTGCCATCTTAATGATATTTAATTTGTCATGTTGATTGCCATCGTCACATGACCACGGCCATTGCCACCACAACCACCACCATCACCATCATCACCATGATCATAAGTATCATATCATTCCCAAACATAATCATTCATCATCATAATCATTTATCATCACCATTCATTATCAACATCATCATCATCATCATCATCATTATCATCATGACCATCATGATCATGAACATCATCACTATCCCTCTCTAAATCAACGACCTTATAACAGTTGCCATCCTCCTCTCCATCATCACCACAGTCGTGCTCATCATCGTTATTATCATCTGATTTGTTTCTCATGATCAACCTGCTTTACTTATTATATCATTGTGGTTGTTCCACCAGGAAACATGTAGACTGTTTTGTCTTGACCTGTGCCACGATTAAGGTGAACAAGGACTGGCAGCGCCCGGGGCTGAGAATGATCATTCAATTTATTTTGGAGCGGTCATTTCATCATTCTTCAGAATCTTTTCTGGTTGAATGCAGCACCTTAGAATTCAAATCTGGAAAGTGTTCAAATCACCTGCATACGTAACAGCATGTTTGTGAATTTCTTGTTGTGCCTGATTCAGATTTCAATTCCTGCTTGCTCTGCCATTATTAAGGGACCATTTTGACCTGCTTGATGGTCCTGATGGAGACATACTTGAACCGTCCTGACCTCAAACCTGAAACATTTATGATATATTGTACTATGATTTTTGCAGCTGCTAGAAAGCTCGGGGTGGAATATGACATTTTTGTGCGTGCATGGGCATGGGTAATTGTGATGTATGATATCTTGTTTGTATCAAATTGTCATCAAATTCATATCCTCCATTGTCTCTGTTGTGATGTTGTTTCCTGATTAGGTTGTTAGAGTTGTTAATGCTGGTGGTCCGTGCTTTGTTTTGTTTCATTTCACCATATATATATATATATATATATATTCTACTGCTGCTACTGTGTGGCTTGTGTTGGCATTCAATTATTGCTCTGGCATGGCTGAGGAAAGGCTTCTGCCAAATCATCAAGAAGGTCCTCAAAATAGCCCCTTGTGGGCTCCTATTTGGGGGCCCGCCCTGCGGGAGTTGGGTGTATATAAATCGAGCCACCTCCAAAAGACAAGCAAGGAGGATATTCGGAGATTGTAGTCGACTTTATGTTCGACATGCCAACACGAGCCTTTCCTCCATATATAATATTTGCAATATTGTGCAATTGAGTTATATGTACTAAACGATCTTTTTTGTGATGCGGAGTGTAGAAACTATCCTAGGTCATACAATGTTTGATGTGAAAAATTGATATCAGGATTGGCTTTGAAAAGTTCATTTTGCTGATTACAATGGATTAGTACCTCGAAGGTTCTTGAGCCTTGTGATTGTGGCGCTGAGGATAACAACTCGTTGGATAATGTTGGGACTGCTTGCAGCTTCCAGGGCTGTGCAATGGCTGACAGAGCAGCCACGTTCTTCTGTCATGATGTTATGTCCATATGTGCGCTACGCTGCGTTGGCCCTGCGACCACTATGTTGGAAGGTGGTTTCCTTGTAGCTCCCTTAGAGTGAATGCGTGTATTCACCGGTATATGCTGGTGATTCCACTGTTATCTTGATGATTGTATTGGTTATCCAGCCTTTTCTGCCTGAAATTTAAATATGTGCTATCTAAGTCCAATGGGCTGCTATGGTCATCGGAGCCAAAAACCATCTCTTTGCTTTGGTACATCGCGCCCTGGCGTTTGCTAGCATGTACTAGAGCAGGTGTCTTTACACACTCCCTTGCCAATCCTATCAATGCCGGGATTATTCTTATACTACCAGGTAGATTCTTTGCTTCCTATCTCAGGAGTTGGTTGGAGTCCCTCAGCAGCAAATTGACGCTGAAGGACAAAGAGCGTATCAAGAAGAACAAGGAGGACCCGAAAAAGGCCATGGTGATCCGAACTATTTCCAAACGAGGATCCATCTCCGTGTGCTACTGCTGCACAAAGTCAAGCATGTTATATTATATGTATATCATATAAAGCATAATATTATTTAATTATAAATTTACACTATATTATATCATATATTTAATATTAAATTTATTATTCCTATGCATTATATTTTATATATTGTATATAATATCTTATAATATATACTATATTGTATTAATATTATGTTATACAAATATTATAAATTTTATATTATATAATATATATTTTAATGAATATTAATATAATAATATAATTAATATAATATATATTATTTATATTATATTCTAGTCTTTTATCGTATATATGTGTGTGTGCATTTGGCTGGATTAATGATACTGATAAACCAATATAGTCATGATATCTCCGATTTTGATTCTGTTGAGATCTGTTTTGAGGTGTAATGCAATCTTGACACCTTCGTTGCTAAACACTTGACAAATAAGGCGGCAAGGAGGACCAGGGATGAAGGATTCCGCGGCCTATCCTCGTAAGTTTGCCAAGAAGATCCACAAAGAACATACAGCTTCCATGGAGGACCCTTGGAATCTGGATTATGTCTTTCCTCATTGCCCTGTCTAACAATTATTTATATTATCCATAAAATTGCAAGTTCATAAGATGAATGTCAATTGAAGGTGAATCGTCGAATGGAATTTTCTCCTCCTAGTGTGCCAACTCGGAAAATCACCGTCCGGCCATCCCGTTGCTCAGGAAGCCACTTCTTCTGGTGCCTTCACATCCGGGCCGGCTGTGGATAATACCCAGAAACCACTCAAGGCCACTTCAATCAAGGGTTGTGAATCGTAGTGGCATTACTTTTGGTTTAAAAAAACAGGTTTTTTGATCATGATTCTGTTCCAAATGGATGTTGATCGATTTCTGAGATATCTATTGAATCTATTGGTGCATTGGTGCTTGCTTAAATCACCAAACAATTGTTGCTTGTCACACCCTCCCGGATCCATTCCCGAAAAGATTGTGCTAGAGTAATTACTTTGCTTTGAGAACCGCTTTTCTGATTTTTGTGATTCAAAAGAAACGGTCTAAGAATTTTGGTAAACCACCCGGCCTCAGTAGTGAGGGTCTCTCCCAACTGGCTTTTGGCCTGCACGTGGCAGGGGCCCTTCCGCTGGCGACACGCCAGATTGGCTGGCTTGAAGGAGTTCTTGCTCGAACGAATTGCCGATGGTTCTTACCGTCCTATCCTAACCCATGGTTTGGGGGAGTTCGACTAAAATAGTCGTCATAGCTGACACGTGTGATCTCCACATGTGTGAGTGTACAGGGCCTATTTGGACCGTCAATTTCTGACATGATGCTACATGTCAAATTAATTTACCAATTACATGGTGGATGCCAATGAACACACAAAAAGGGCAGGATGTTGGGATAAAGCACTTTTATACCTTTGCTTATGGATTAGAATTACAATATCAAAAAAAACAAAACAGTGATCCTGCCCTTGACAATGTGTGCAAACCGATAAAATTGCACTCCAACCTCGAAGTTATGTTTCTGGGAAAAAAGGATGCGTGAAACTAGCGTGAAACTCGCGTGAACCACCTTTAAACGCCGTTAACCACCTTTAAAAAGCGTTAACCACGACCCCCCCAAAATGGCATGTTTTTGGATGAATGTAAAACATAAAAAGTGGTGTGAAATCATACGTGATTTGCACTGTGTCGTGAAATTTGATCAGGATTTTCAAACAGGTTGGGATAGGCTGAGCTGACTCAATGGCGCCGGTTGCTGTGCAAGCTGCGCTCGCCAAAGCAGCACAACGTGCTGCAAGGCTAGCTGAGCTAGATATGGCACATTCAATACTGGAACGGGTACTAGGTTTTCAACATCCACCCGAGACGCTTCCCTGGGGTGATGCAATGTCGAAGTCTTACTTGTTGACCCACATAGTATCTGGACACACTCAATGGCTGATACATGCACCGGTATATTTTTCTACATTTTATTTGTCTAAGTCCGAACATACGTCTCCCGGCTGTAGGTTGGAAGGAATTGTGGACGATGTGACCACGGGAAAGGACAAGTGTAGAGATGCCAGCGCATCTCCCCGAGAGTCGTCTACAACGGCATCATCTTCCCAAGCTGGCAGTGTCAGCCCTCCATCTACAGGACTGCTGCTGCTGGTGTCGGTGGTGGTTTTTCATTTTAATGGTGTGTGCGATAATCAGCATTGCAATGCATTATGGGGTACGATGGGAAGAATATCCAATTAACTTACACAAACTATGATGCGATATATAATGCACAAATGCATGTTACAATGGTGGTTCTAGCCCCAGTTGAGAAAGGATTGTTGTTTGTGCATCAATTACGGTTTGTTCCACTTTATCCTGGAAAGAATGTTTCAAGCTGTTTAAACCCAACAAAAATTCTTTACATATCCTGTTTCATGCTGATATGCGCAGGTTATATTGTGTGTGAGTGGCGTGTGTATGTGTGGATATATATTACTAAAAATATATTGTATAATAATTATATAATAATTATTTACATTTATAATTTATTTTGTGGATTATTTGTCCCATGTTTCGTGTATACGATAGTCTCACCCCCATACCACCTTACCTCATCACCCGTCCTAATACCACCTCACCTCATCCCCACATCCTCCTTCCTTGCTGCCAATTTCATTCTGTTGCGCTGCCTACTACCAGTAATCAGTTGAAGTCCCAACCTGTATATATTATAATTGCATATCCCAAATTATAATGTCCCATTCTAATTTTGGAGTTGACTTGTTGCACAACCCAGTTTCATGTGTGCAGTGTGCCAGGAAAACAAAGCACTGCCTCCACTGTCCCTGAGACAGACGATGCTGCCCTGTCCAATGCTTTGCACGGTCTCAAGTTGCAAAAAGCTCTGGACATGGGAAGCCCGCCAGTGACACCACCAGCTCAAATCAGGAGAAACAACACACCCCGGCAAGTTCTTGAAGGTAGCATTGGTGATGTGGCCATTTTGGGTGGTGGTCATGATGGCACGGATAACAGCAGCAGAACAAAGGGATCATGCCCAGCAGCCATGAAAAAAGTCAAGAAACATGCAAGCAAGAAATCCAAGAAGGGTGCAAAAACAGCAGGCAAGACCAAGAAAGGCAAATGTCCCAAGTCAAAAACGGAGAAGGCAGCACTTGCTTCACCTGTAGAGTCAGAGACTGCGAAGCCAAAACTTGAAATGAAGGCAGAGCCTGTGGAGCCAGGGTCTGTGAAGCCAAAACCTGCAGTTGCTTCACCTTTGGCTGAGCATGATGGAAAGGCTCCAGCACCAACACCTGGTTCTGCCGAAACACGTGCTTATGTCCCCTGCCCAAAGACCTCCGTACCCATTCCCAAAGCAAATGTCCCTGCAGCAATGGAACTTGTGAAGAAGGAGAAAGATATCCCTCGCCTACCTGGCTTGAAGACCACGACACCAACTAGTGTTAGGATGGCAAAGGCCGTGGATCAGTCGCTAGATGAAAACTTGGCACGTGCTGCCACCCAAGAGCTTTTTGAACCTTCGGAGCTTGGCAACGGAACGGAATACTATTCCCCAGGCTATTCCCCAAGCCATGCCTCCCTTGCTGGGTCTGAGAAGGGGAATGATGAGGAAGGTGAGCTTGGCTCAGACTATGATGAGTTTTTGAACAGCTTGGAGGATGACAAGAAGGAAGAAGCACAGGACTCCCGTGACTCTGACCAAGTAAGTGTAGCTGAAACAACCAAGACTAACAACACACAGAAGAAGAAGAAGAAGAAGAAAAGCAAGAAGGAAAAGACGCCCTTGCAGAAAGCAATGCATGCTCGATACATGAAGTTCAGCAGATCAATTCGAAGCAACTAGACAGCAAAAAAAATGCATTTGGGGTGCTTCATACTGTGTCCTGAATACGTGGAATCCTGTGTGCAAAAAATACGCTATCATACAATGACCAAAGTGATTTGACATCTTTTTCACACACCAATTTCAGATTGCTGGTGTTGAAACATTTGGGGGGGCGACTTGGGTTATATTGTTGAGAATTTTTGTTCCATCATGCCATTAGGCCAAGCGTCTCTAGATTTTCTTGTTGATCTAAGGCCGCAAAGCACCAATTGAAATCAGACGTGCTGGCCGAGCTGCGAAATACAGTGTCTTGGTGTGTAAGGGGATGGGTGCGAGTTTCCAATCAATGTTTACTTCATATCGTTTGGTGAGTAGGGTGTGGATAGCTTCGCACAATGTGCCTGCAAACGATCTAGATGCTATAAGCCTACCTTGTGCCCTCCCTTGGTTCCACTCATCACACACGCCTTTTCATATTCCCAACATGTTTGCAAGCAATAGCAGCAACAACATTAAGAAATAATGTCGCTGGGTTCTTTTCTTTTGTTTGCCTCTGTGTGAGGTCATGCGAAGCTTCAGATCCTTCAAGAGGCTTGGGAAGCGTGCAAAGGCGATTGGAAATCCTCCAGCTTTTACAAGTCAATCACCCAGCGCAAGACAACAAGCTCTCATGGAGCAAGGGTCTGGCTAACGCGCCAGCAGATTTGCAAAAAGTATGGAGACCAGAAGATTGCCGATTGCATTTGCGATGGAAAGTTGGCGGATCCAAATGTGGCTGCCACCCAAATCAAATGGCACCCAGATGCTGAAGGGAATGAGGCCCAACTCATGGGGGATATACTTTTGGAATGCACAGTAATAAAGACTTCGCTTTAGGTATCTTTAGACCTATATATTACATTCCATTTGCAAATGCGCATGGCAAATCGCAGTCAGCATCATGTGCATCATACTTCGAAGTTAGCACCTTGAAACCTAATAAACTGCCCCACTCCGCTTTCAGGATCTCCGTCTGTTCCTAGTATGGGACAGCGAAGGTGTATGTGAACGTGAAGATTCCATCGTTGAAGACTTGTTCCAGGCAGCAGACAAGGATGATGGGTATTCAGACTCCGAGTGCAGCCGGGGCAGAAAGCGCAAGAGGGGAGCACGCAGCCGCAAGTCAAAGAAAGGCAAGAAGAAGAGCACAAGCAGCAGTGAAAGCGAGTCAGAGGAAGAATCCCGCAGTTCCCACTCCGAAAGCGATGATGAAGACAGTGTTACTCTAGTTGCATTAAATTTCATTGCCACAAAACATATGATCTAATTGCGTTATCCTTTTTGTGACATTCGTAAAACCTTCAATTGCACTATATGGAACCTTTGGTCGGTTTCGGTTTCCCATTCCTGGTGATTTTGGCTTGAGGCTGAGGAAAAGCCAAAGAAGAAGTCGAAAGGCAAGAACAAGAGCAAGAAGAACAAGAGCAAGAAAGATAAGAAGAATAAGAAAGGAGAAAAGAAGGAAACAGAGGTTCAGAAACAGAAGCGTCTGGAGAAAGAAGAGAAGCAACGATTAAAGGAAGAAAAGGCAGCGAAGCAGAAGGCGGAGAATGAGCTCTTTGGCAAAGCAAAGAAGGCCTAGTCATTCCCTGGGCTACCCTTGGGTTGATGTGTGTGCGTGCGCATTGAATGGTGTACTCCCCCAAATGACATTCTCAAAATCAAAGTTCCATCCTGGTGATCGCATTTGTAAATCATGTAATGGCCTTCATTGTTTGGAAATGTGCTGATGCATTTCAAGATCATGAAGTGCGATCACATATTGTAGGATGTTTTGCAACATCTTACTGCAACATAAACGCTGCTTGGGGGCAACTATAAATGTACAGTATTGCTGTAGCTGGCTGTTTTCGCAAACCCAGTGTTTACAAGTTTACAATTATCTCAACATGACAGCATATATATTTAATGAATCTATTATCCATCAATCTATATAATACTACATTATATGTTACTTTATTATATTACATATACATGCATATCCATTTGTTGTATAATATATGTTATATATTAGGTGTGAACTATATTCCAAAGAATAAAGATCATTGGTAGTCTAACAGTATGGACGCCACATACTATGTAGAATGATAATCTATTACCAAATACATTCCCCCACTATTTTGAACTTTATCTTGGACAACCCTGCTGTATGGCCAGGTACTGAACTCCGCCAATGATAAAATCACAAAGGCTTCGAAGAAGGTTGAACTCATCAACCAAATGATCGGGCCTTAGAACCATCCAAACAGGTTTGCGTTTGGAGAACCATCTGTGGCTGTAAACCCTGAGAAAAAAAACATGGGAGAAATGATAACATTAATGTGAATTCCAAATCAGATTTTTCCCTTGTACGCTAGATCATCGTATGGTAGTTAGTATTCTATGTGATCGATAAATAATATATTATAATTGTTAGTTAATAATAGAATATTTAAAATATATATTATATATTTAAAAATATATTATATAATATAATAAAATATATATCATATATAATATATAATATAATAATTTAAAATAAAAAAAATAATATAATTACAATAATATATAATATAATAATCATATATAATATATAATATATAATAAATTATTGTATTGTTTATAATATTCCAACAAATCTGATCGGGGATGCACATTTGGTGTAAACCAATCTACTTTAATACGCTACTCTATAGTAATTGGACCGACAAAATATTTATTACATATATAATTAGTGATAACTTTTATGATGCATAGAATCCAACAGGGACAGCATTTGGTGGAAGGATTGTGGCAATAATGAATTTGTTGATAATAAGGTGCTGCTGCACCAGGTGATTTTATCAAATTAGATTGGAATCATACCATAAACCCAGCAATATAAATATCTCACCAAGGGATTATCGTTGAATTCTTAGCTTACGTGGCAGTGTACTTGTATAACCTCAAAAGAATTATCCCCCAGTAACCAAAACAGAAAACACTTCACATTGAAAGAATGTAATTTTTAATGGTATCCCAGAATGACCAACCCAAAAGTTGGCAGCTTCTTTCTCACAGGTTACCCCTTGTGGCAATTAAAAACATTAGCAATATTCCAATTCGCAGGGGCTTATTGGTAAGAATGATGGGGGCGCTCCAAGCAATCAGCCGCCAGTCACCCCCGGTCGAGAGTTAGCTCCCGGAGCGTGTTCTCGTGGTGAGGTGTCCAGGCCTTCGCAACGTGATCGAGAACGATTTCCACATTTTCTGGGATATGCTGGTCAAAAAGCGAGACAAGTTACAAGCCGACGTTGACACCCGGGATGTCCCTTATCTCATAATTGTGGTGTTCTTTACTGTCAAGTACTCATGCCTTAATTTATCAAATTTGTGTTGATCCAGAAACATAATAGTTTAATAGTATGTTTTATTTGTTGTGTTTCCATCTGTGATATCATGGATTTATGGTATTTCAGACATGGTGGAACATTTGAGTCTCTGTGAGGCTACTGGTTTGGAGAAGAAGATGTCGGAATGTTCGGATGCCGAGTCCAAGTACAAAGACTTCTTGGCCCGGGCCAACCTGAAGTAGGTTTTTCCGTTACCAAGGTTGCAACTGCGTTCAATGATTCTAGTTCTTAAATGATCATATTAGCGTGAATTGCACGCATGCTGGGGATGGAACAAGTGCCAGCAAGACAACATTTGTTTCGAATACATTGTTTGATTCATCAGTGCTAACATAATTTGATCATTGTCAGGTTGGAACCAATTAATCAAAGAAATGCTGCAACACATGTCAAATCTGTTTGTGTGTGGTTTGCTGGCATGTTTCCGAAAGGGTAGCATGTGCTGCCATTGACAATTCTGATCTTGACAGAATCTGAATGAAGCTGGGGATGTGAAAACATATCACCCAAAATTTGAAACCACTTTAATTACAATGTTGGAAGCCGCATTGGCTTGACAAGGCCTCTCAGTGTGTGCGATACCATGCGCTGTGGAACTCCCGTGGAACTCCCATGGAACTCCCATATCATGTGTTGTGTGAAAAAGGCGCTAAAACCAACAACAGTGAGTGGTAGTTTTACTACATCCACGAATATAATATGAATGATATATATATATATATATATCATTTTGGGTGACCTTCCATCCCTTCGCAGGTGAATATCTATATGATGATGCTGATGCCACGATTTCAGCCGTGTTGGAAACGGCTATGGATGATGTTGGCAGCGGGGAATCTTTGCTGCAAATTATTCATGAATATGAATATGATGAACTTGTCATATAAAATGATAACAACATAGATAGCATCTAAACAATACTGATGTAGTGGACTCCTGAACCAGGGCCCCAGGTTCCATCAGCCAGCTCAGGCATCCACTGTTGGAAAAGCGATGAGGAATGTTCACGCCCATGCAGAGGTTCCTTGCCAATCGAAGGCAGCGGGTGGACACAAAAGATTATATTATATAATGGATATGGGATATATTTCGATATTATATATGTTATATTAATTAACGTAGCATATCCTTAAAATTCCAAACCCCATAGACAGTACAGCACTAAAATCCTTGTTGATATCGTGTCTTCCATCTATCTGGGGGAAAAACACCAAACCAGTACTAGTTGACTTGACTGTGGGGGATGAATTTCCCATGATGCAGTGCCATTGATAAGATCCAGGAATCAGTACTAGCGGGTAGCTATCCATTCTTCATTGGACAGTTCATGAGTAAAGTACCTTTCAACAACATGGGTCATGGTTAGCATATGTTGCTTACACTCACACAATCGGATGGTTTTTTTGTTACATACCTTGTAAGTTTCAATGGGTTGGGGATGGTTGGGGGGAATGTTGCATATCCCCAAGGCCCCACGGTCTTACCCACTAGGAAGGATTTCCCAAATGATAACTGATATATAACAACTTGTGGCATTTGAATCCATTTGAGATGAATTCCATATCTAATATGATATGTTTTTAGTGGGCAACCTATTTACTGTAGTCAAACCCTGGTGGATTTGTATGGGATGAATCATATCCGTTCTTTGTCCGCTGATATTGTTGTTTGAAATATTCATAGAGGAAGCATCCTTGATCAATATATACTAATACTGTATATTATATATAATATATATGTGGATCCCCAAATTCAGCCAACTTTTGTATGGAACCAATACCCAACACATGGAAACCAACAAATGCACATTTGGGATTGGGAAACACGCATTTGGGTATCGCATAGCATCAGCAAAATGCAAGGATGATTCCATGATCCAACCCTTTGAACTGGTGATTCCCTGGAATGACAACAGTTTCAAAAGTTACCCCAACACACAAAGATTACACCCTGCTTTGTCATATTCACCAAATTCGCACACATGTATCAGAAAACCTGTGAAGCCCATGCGCTTGTAAAAGCACACCTACGCACATGCCCAAAAATGCAGCACCATTATAATGTTTTTTCAAGTCTTGAGAACCTACAAGACCAGCATGATGGTCATGCACCATTTAACCATTGGGACCTCACAACACACAGTCGCAGCAGCCTCTTTAGTTGTTCTCTACGCGTGACATCAGCATATATTATATTGAATGTTGGTTGTGTTTTTATGTTCTAGATATCTGTGTTGAGACTGCACAACGCAGAAAAGTGAAATTATCTACTGTATTGTATATCCTAATGCATTCTAGAATTGATAGCATAAAAGCCCAGCCCAGGGTGTTTATCCTTGAGCCCATTAACGCAACTTACGCGCTGATTCTGGAAGTCTTGGAAAAAATTCTGACCTGCTGGTTTGGACATCATTGCTCATGCAAGCATTTGTGCGAAGGATACTTCTGCACATCTTACTGAGTATGTGCTATGAAGTGCTTACTATACTGGGTTGCTACTTTATAGATGTGTGCTTTTGCATTGTGATTATTGTTTGCAATGCTGATGCGTACAGAACGCCACATACTAGTACAGTCTTGAAAGTTGATTGTGGCTGATCGGGTCTGTTCATGGAGGAGCTTCTCTTGGACATTCTTCTGGGATCTAAATTTGTTTGGGTTGGTGCTTCAACACCCTACTGCCCAGGACACTGGGGGAGCAATTGCACACCCACTGGCTCGGAGATTGAGCAATGTGTCGGGCAAGAACAATGCACGTGACTGGTGGCGTTCCTTCAAAGACGGCCCAGACTCTCAAATAGCCTGTGTATTAGATAGTTTTTTTTGCATATGTCATATATCGTCACTAGGTGCTTTTTGTATTACCCCGTGGTATCATTTTTTCCGGACCTGTGAACCGTTGGTTATTTTTGATTTTACATTTGATCCATTGGCATTCAGCCCTGTGTTTACCTCTTACGGTATGGTGTTTCTTGGGGCAAAATATCTAGATCCGAATTTTGAACATTTTCGCACTTGACAAAAATAAGGAAATGCAACAGATCCGGGTTCCTGTGAAGTACCAAGATTTAGATGATGGCCAGTGGAAGTTCAGGATAGAAGAACGACCCATATTGGATCCACATTTGATCTTACAATATCTTTTTGACGATGCCAATGTGAAAATTCCAGCTGAAGCCGTGCGAAAATATTGGTCCCACCACGCGCGTCATGGAGAGAAGTGGGCTCAGACGTGTGACAATTACAACCGGATACCGGTTGGCATTTTTGGTGACAGTGCCAGAGTAACAGCACAGTACGGAAAGGTGGTGCAAGTGGTAGGGATATTCATGAACTTAGTGCTATGGCGCCCAGCTTCAGTTCGAGCATCACGTTTCTGTCTCTTCACAATAGGTGAAGACGAACTGTGGTCAATCCACACGCTTCAAGCTGTATACAGAAGATTAACATGGAGCTTAAACGCGGCTTACATGGGGAAACACCCCGAAGTTGGCCCTGGCGGCGAGGTGGTACCACCTAAACTCCGAGCCAAAGGTGGCCAACAGCTCACCCGAGATTCATTTTTATTTTGCTGTACAGAAATCCGAGGCGATTGGTCTTGGCATAAGAAAGTGTGGCGTTTCCATCGGACCTTCTGGACAGGTGTCCAAATCTGCCACCATTGCAGAGCCCTATCAGCTGGTGATTGGGGTGATATTTATTGGAATCTGAATGACGATAACAACTGGCAAAACAGTGAGTTTGACTTGGATGAGTTTTGCCAAGAAAGGTTACCACCTCATGGCATTTGAACCTTAGCTTGAAAAACACATACTTTTCAAATATGTTGTTGTTGCTGTTGTTGTTGTGTTTTAATTAATATGGTTCAACACTAAATTTGGTTCAGGAATTTCTTCCTAATTCTATTCTCAAGAGATTTGTTTCAAAACCAATATTTGTTCTTTTGCAAAGTGATTGCTCGTGAAATTCGAGGCCCACTGCTGGGACTCCACAACTTTGATCCATCGGTCATTCGCTGGTGCTTGATGCATGTATTTCATCTGGGGCTATTGTTTAGCGCCAACGGATCGAGTTTGATACCTTTCTGTGCAAAACACTTTTTCCTTTTGTTTGTGTGTGTGCATGGGGGTAATTCCGATTTGAATTTTTGCAATGATAATTGTTAATCATGCTTTCTCCCTGAAGATCCTAGCGTAGTTGTTTTTCCAAACAAGTAATAGCCTGGGATCACTGAGGCACTTGCTCCTTTCTGCTGGGTATTGGGGAGATCCGCAGCATGTATCCAGGCAATTGTTGCTGTCAAAGGCATACCAAGACTTCAAAGCCTGGTGCAGAGCCAATCGATTACATTGCTCACAACCAGAGTTCAGAGAGTCCATGGTCTCTTGCACGTATTCAAGCAAAGTTGTTTTTTAGGCATGTAGCGAAAAGGCTTCAGAAAAACATGGGGTTGAATTCCTGATATTTGATTATTTGAATAATATATTTGGATCACATTTTGGAGCATAAATAACTCACGCTTTTCTGGATCACGGGTCAGCCAAACTAAGTTGTACAAGAAAAACGGTGACGTGATGTTGACGCTCAAGGCGTACAACGGCAGATGTGTCCTGGAATGGCTGGCAGTACGGGTTTACGAGGCATACCTGAACCCACAATATGCGGCATTTGATCCTACAAGATTTTGCAGCCAAATTGTTTGTTTGTGTGAGAGTGAAACAGGAATGAGATTTTGTTGTTGGTCCAGGGATGGGGGGCAGCGATTCATGTTCCATCAATTCGTTCTGCAGCATTGGGCACATATGCACGCCATTGCAAACAATATCAAGGGGGTCAGGTGATTATCACGCCACAAGTTTGCAATTCCACACCTGTATGTTTTCATTGGTGCAAAGTTTCTCCAGAAAAAAATGAATCCCTGGGCTGCCCAGCCTCTATGCTGAGGAAGTATGCTGCGAGATTCATTGGATTGGTGGAAGTATGGTCGATACTTGAAGCTTGGAGGCACCACATATTGCTAGAACAACAGAAGTCAATCAACTATTTGATGAATCGCAAACTGTGCGTATGGTTGATGGTTAATTTGCTTTGACTCCTGCATCACAAATTCGCAGACTTCTAACAGCAAGATTGTGTCTAAGGAGCGAGGCAGAAGCCTCGTCGATCTTTGATGCTGGCAAACACTTTTTGCAACTGTACCTGAAGAATACCAAGTTGTCACTGAGGCTCATCAGTTCAGCGCAAACCACATTGTCAAAGAACTAAGTCACTAAAAAGTGATCGGTTTGAATTATACTTGTTTGGTTTTGTTCAGGTTTTGCTAGACAATTTGGAGATGAGAAAAAAACACATAGTTCGATGTATCTTGGCCAGGAACAATCTGCAGGAATGGACTATGCGTCCAAAGTTTCATGAGACATGGCTGCGAGTTCAAGGCAAGTTTCCAATATTTTGCGCTATATAATACTTAGATTGGGAAGTGAAACTGAGTTTGATTGCTATGAAGTATGCTACGCTCAACATCTTTTAAGCGATCGAGATGTTATTTTTATTTTCGCACCAACCCGCCAACTAAGGGGCTTTATCACCTGATACACTTTACAAGAAGCCGACGCGCCCAGGCTGCAGCCAACTGTAAACCCTATCCTGATCAACAAAAACAACTTCACCATCAGGGGTTACAAGGATTCACCCAGTCAGACCTTCCAACTCCACACCAGCCCAGGTGTCAACTGCAGATTTCACCACGGCTTTGTAGATGAGGATTCGATGTCGTGGCTGAAGCGTAGCTTGGCACGCATCATTGCGGCGAATGAGAGAGGTTCACACATTTAATCTAGTTGATAAACCGTTCATCTGGTTTGTTGGGAGAACAGTTTTCAAACATTATGTCAATTGACATGTTGATCAATGTATATCAATTTATCGATCAAATTATTTTTGTGTTGTAGCTTTGGTACCTTTGATTTGTACATGACGTTTGATCTGTGTGTGTGTGTCTGTGTTTTCGTCTCGCCCACTAGGAACCTATTTGAAAGCACATCCAAGCCATCGGTACTCCTGGATTATGAAATGTGGCAGGCTGAGGCGTGGGGTTTCAACACAAATCATAAGCCTATGGTGCGATGGGATTCGTGCAATCCAGCTTTGCATTTGCATTTACAATCTTGCATATCTTGGCTAGTGCGGTTGGAAGGATCATATCGACTCGTCTCAAAATTAAGAAGTTTCTTGGCCAACACCTGGTGTCATCATTTGATCTTCATTTTTGTTCCGCTGAAAACTGTTCCATGTTACCCATAGTGTCGAATATATATTCTGACTCTGATGTCATGGTTATCTCTGTTCAATTCTGTTCCAACAGCCAAGGTTCAATGCAGTGGCCAAGCGAAGGTTGAGACACAACCGCGCGTAAAGGGACAAAAAAGTCATCTTTTTGGCAATGGTGTATGACGTGGCTTCTATATGCACAATTTCCACTTATACATGTTTATCGCCACACATGGTCCAAATCTGAAACCCTTCAAAATCAAGTATCCTAAACGGGGTTACGTTAACCGTGTTTTTTTTAAAGGTCTTTGGAACCTTAGGGTATATATATTTCTCTCTCTCTCTCTGAAGACATGTACATACTATATATAACCTCTATGTGCAGTGTAAAGATCCAGGGGTTTAGCATGAGTCCAACTCCCATTTTGGCTCAAGTAAAATAGAGCTCCGCAGCTCGATATCACGTTTTCATGGTAGCGCGTGAGCCTGGTGAGTCCGAAGCCGACTACGAGTTGAGGCAAAGGGACAACAGGCACAGCAAATCAAGGTGCCTGGTTAGTAGCTCCTCAGAGGAGGAGGAGGAGCCAGGGAGCCGAGCGGCTGATTCAGCCGCCGGCTCGGAGCTGGGAGCGGCGGGCCCGGCCGCCCCAGCAGTGATAGTAGAAGAAGAAGAGGAGAAAGAGAAAGAAGAGGAAGAGAAAGAAGAAGAGAAAGAAGAAGCCCCAAGAAAGAGAAGGAAAAGAACCCAGAAAAGCCCTAAGCCCGTCGCAAAGCCCAAAATCGGATTCTACAGACCCCAACAAAGTTATCCAGGTGGACATCTTCAAGTTGAGACGGCACGGTCATCAACTTCCCCGGGTGGAACAAGGAGACCAGCCGTAACTTTGATTGGGCTAGCAAATCCAGCAGAAGAGGAACCGACCCAGACATACCAGGTCCGAGGCTTGAGAAGCCAGTCCGAGGTTCGACAAGGTTCAGGTCCAGATCCATCTGAGCGGTTGGAGTTCACTCCAAGACCGCCTAGAGAGAGCCCAGCACCGGACGCACTGTGGAATCGTCCAAGTGCGAGTGTGTTGAAGAGAACTCACCCTAAAGGCTTCAGACTGAGATCCGCTCAGTCTCGCCAGTACCGCAACCTCAAAGGGCAATTGAGGCTTGCGAAGAAACAAGGAGTCAAGGTGGACCGTGGGCTGAAAGACCAAGTAGACGAGTTTGGAAAGGGCCGACAAAAGACCTTCAAGAAGAACCCAATCCGGTTGAAGTCGGTGTCACGACATCCAATCCGACTTCGCTCAGTGGCAAGGCCAAAGGCAAAATCATCGAGTGCAAAGGCCAAGCCAAGACCCAAGGCGAAAGCAAGAGCCAGGACTTTAGCCCGAAACAGAGTGCGAGGACCCGCAGGGATTGGACTCAAGGTGCACGGACGTGCCTTGAAGCTGAGTGAAAAGATCCGGAACTTGGCCAACAAGTGGGCTGCCAACAACCAACTTTCAGCCTACTTCCTTGAGAGCCCGTTCCAGGTGAGGCACTTAGCAGCGAGACAGCTCCAACAGGAAACCGGAGCTAAGGGTACGGTGGCAGCAGCGATCGTCCAGAAGTTGTGGGCACAGGACGAAGCCTACTCATCGTGCGACGACCGGAAGAGGAAGTTAGAGCCGGGCGTTGCAGAGTATCTTAGAAAGAAAGCCGAGGCCAAGAAGGCCAAGGCTGATCCTGCTGTGTAAAGCAGCGCCGCAGCGGCTTGGAGAGCCGCAGCGAGCGGACGCTTCGTCCGCAAGGAGTGAAAAGTAGGGCAACAGCTGTCCATTGGTAAGGGTAACATGGAGCAACAAGTCCAAGAATTAGTAGAAACCATCCAACAACTTAGGCAAACCCAAATAACCCTAGCCGCCGAAAATGAGCGGCTGAGAGAGGGTCAGGCAGGTGTTCAGGCATTAGCACAATCCGTAGGTGAGTTGGCACAGTCTTTGAAAAGGGATACCACGGATAGGAAAATTCTCATGGACACCAAAGGCTTGGGTAGATCTGAAGTGTTTGACAACAAAGAAGAAAGTTTTCGAAGGTGGATTCGGTCAATCAACAATTTGGTTGCCGGGGTATTTGTTCCAGATTATGACAAAGTTTTGGAAAGTTGTCTGGATTCAGAAGACCCCATAGACCTTCAAGATTTGGTTGACAATCAACATCCCGATGTAGATGGTATAGAAAAGGTTGGAGAACAACTGTATCGGGTGTTGTGTCACCTATGCATTGGGGAAAGTGAAGACCTTGTTGTTGGAGCCGGTAATGGCTATGAAGCCTATAGGAAGCTTTGTAGGAGATGGGACCCCGCCACGAGCGGGAGGAAAAGAAACCTCCTACGGGCCATCCTAAATCCAGAGCGGTGCAAAACGTGGGCCGCCGTGAGGCCAGCTATTGAACAGCTGGAAGACTTGGTGAGGAGATATGAAGCTCGGAGGTCAGCGTCAGGGACCCGAGAGTTGTTGAGTGACGACATCAAATCAGCATCTCTAGAACTTTTGGTTCCAAATGACCTTGAGAAACATTTGATCCTTAACAAGAATCGGTTGACCACTTATGATTTGATGAAACAAGAAATTGAATTGGTGGTTGAATCTAGTGTTGGTTCAAAGGGTTCTGCAACGAGACCAGGACAGGCGTCAAGTAGTTCGGGACCCCAACCAATGGATGTTGATTCCATAACCCAGTGGATAGCAAGTTTAGTAAAGGGTCAGGCAAAAGGCAAAGGAAAGGGCAAGTCCAAAGGAAAAGGGTCAGGAAAAGGCAAAGGTAAGGATAGCAGTAAAGGCTCAAGTGGCTCAAATCCAAACAAAGACATAGTTTGCCACAATTGCGGCAAGAAGGGTCATAAACAAGCGGACTGCTGGAGCAAGAAGAGAGATGACAAGGGCAATTCAAAGGGCAATTCGAAGGGCAATTCAAAGGGTAATCAAAAGGGCAAGAAACATGTGTCGGGGCTAGAAAATGGAGAGTCAGCGGAAGCGGGTGCTGAGCCCGCGCCGGAGGCTGACGTAGGATTGATTGAGGTAGGAGCAATAGATGGAAAGGTTTGCACACCAACGGCTGTTTCAGCCGTGGAAGAGTGGGTGAGATTCAACTTGGATACAGGAGCCGCGCAGACGGCAGTCCCAAAAGATTGGGTAGATGACAAGGTCACTGTCACCGGAGCGAGTGAAGTGATTTTCAAGACAGCATCTGGCGAGTTGGTGCCGAGTGAGGGCACAGGAACCTTTGTAGGGTTCGGTGAAAGCGGTATGAGATGCCGCGTCCGAGGAGCCATTGCAGATGTGCATAAGCCCTTGGTGTCAGCACACAAGTGCTTGGGATTTGGTCGGATAGCTGTGCTTGATGAGAATGGTGGACAATTGGTCCCCGTGAATTCGAAGGCTGGTAGAGCCATCCAAGGAATCATCAACCGCGCGACAGCAGCTGAGGCCAAGACTTGGCTGCCAGTGTATCAGGAAAGGGGTGTGTATAACTTCTATCTCAAGACAAAGGGTGGAAAGCAGCATGTTGCGGCGAATGCCGCAGAGATCATTGAAAAGGAGCTGAATGCAGCTGGTTCTTCTGATGAAGCTGCAATCAATGCACCAGAGGCACGGGCCGACCCGGCCGAGGGTGCAATTGAGGAAGTGATGGAAGAAGTGGAGGAGTCTGAGAGGCCAAAACTGGTGAAATCTCCAGATACTCCAACTCAGGCAGAGGTGGATGAGCATGAATCCACAGGGCACGTGGTCTATCGAGACTGGTGCCGGCATTGCGTCGCAGGACGCGGTCTGGGGCAGAGACACCAGACGAGAACCAGTGAGCAAAGAGAGCGAAATCTGGTACTAACTGTTGCATTTGATTATGCATTCATGTCCCGCAGTGACGAGGACGATGAGAGGCTGAGGCCCATCCTTGTGATGAAGGATGAGAGGACACAGATGGTTGCAGCGACCTTTGTGGACTCGAAGGGGGCAACCCCTTATGCTGTGAAGTTTGCAGCAGCGTTTTTGAAGAACTTAGGCTACCGCAAGGTAGTGCTCAAGTCGGATGGAGAGCACTCCATCGTGGCATTGAAAGAGGCAGCGGCCAGAGAAGCCGCCATCGAGTCAGTGCCGGAAGAGTCCCCACCGGGAGACCATCAAGCAAATGGATTGGTTGAGAACGCAATCCGCGAAGTGAAGAGGCAGATCCGAGTTTTGAGGTCAGCCTTGGAGGAGAAAGTAGGCAGGGTACTTCCTGACGAAGACCCGATGCTTGCTTGGCTGCCAAGACAGGCAGCGGACCTGTTGAACAGGTACAAGAAAGGAGCGGACGGCAGAACGCCTGAAGTCCGCCGCAGTGGAAAGCAGTGGCGGAAGCCCGCCATAGCTTTTGGAGAGAGACTCTACTTTGGAGAAGTAGGAGAAGGAACACGTGTCCTGAAAGAGGGACGATACGTAGGTCATCATGGACGCACAGGATCGTTGATGCTGATGACATCACAAGGTGTCAAGCGAGGCACTGGATTCAGGCGAATGCCAGATGTCGACAGATGGGATCCTACTGCATGGGATCAATAATTGCGAGGAATACCTTGGGAGCTGAGTGCACCAAGGCCAGTTGCGGGAGAGAGGCTGATCGGCGAAGACCGGTTAGCCACCGCCTGAAGCGCGAGTGGCACCACCTCAGAGGAGGAAGCTGTACATCAGAAGGGAAGATGTGCACAAGCATGGAGCAACTGAAGGTTGCCCAGGCTGTACTTGTGTCCTTGAAAATCGAAGGACAACGGTGCCTCATACAGAAGCTTGTAGGGCAAGAATCATTGAGGCAATGGAGAAAGATGAGACTGGAGCAGAAAGAATCCAGGCGCATGCAAAGAAGCGCAAAGAAGACCAAGAGAGAGACAGACCAAAACCAGCGGTCGTTTCGACCGAAGAGAGAGATATGGGTGTAGAAGATGCAGAGGGCAGACCGGTTGAACCGAGCGGCGCTGATCCGCCGCAGGAGATACCGGAAGACCCAAATGAGAGAGCAAAGCTCAAGAGACAGGCGATGCCAGCATCAGAAGCAAAGGCAAAACCGAAAGTGTCGCCACAGCAAGTGAAGCGACCGGGAGGTCTGAGCATTGCATCAGGACCACCATTGACTAAGGCGAAG